TTTGGTTTTTCTCCGGTACCGGGAACCGAACTCACGACCTTGCGCTTGCCAGGCGGGCGCTTTGCCGCTGAGCTAAATCCCCAGCCCCTAATAATTTTAATATTTCTTCGATTCAGGAGGTTATGGGGGTCTAAAGGTTAAAACTATTACATCTTTAGTATTGTGTGAGGAATTTTTATGAATGATTTACACCAGTAGTAACTAATCATCCCCAGTTATATTAGCACCTTTCTTGGTACTCTCCACGTAGTAGTCACATGCCTGCGTTTGTTGAAGCTGCCAGCAATTCAGTGTACTTAAGGAAACAAAATTCTGATTGATTCTGATCTATTTCTTACAGAACAGTCTCCACTCACATCGTGGATTTGAAAGACCAGACTGCTGCATTCTGGAGATCATGGTAACAGTACAGGAAACGTGCTTAATTTCTGCAAGTGGTCATGACTGTTGAAGACAGACATTTTTTTAGCTACAGCAAAATTAATTTTGGTCCCTTTTATGGAAATCCTGATTTTGTTTCTGAGTCTTGATAGCTCTTTGCTAAAGTTATGAACAAGCAAAGAGCTTATCTGGTTAGGCAAATGCCCCTTGCTGAGAATGTCTAGAAGAGGCTCCTCTCTTCCCGCCCGTGCCCACTGGCTGCTCCTAGGTCTGGCTCTGCTCTGCAGCTTGGTGCTGTTTCTGTACCTTCTGGAATGTGCCCCCCAGACTGATGGAAATGCATCTCTTCCTGGGGTTGTTGGGGAAAGTTATGGTAAAGAGTATTATCAAGCCCTCTTACAGGAGCAGGAAGAACATTATCAAACCAGGGCAGCCAGTCTGAAACGCCAGATTGCCCAATTAAAGCAAGAATTACAAGAAATGAGTGAGAAGATGAGGTCACTGCAGGAGAGAAGGAACATAGGGGCTAACGGCATAGGCTACCACAGCAACGGCGAGCAAGCCCCTGGTGACCTGTTAGAGTTCCTTCACTCCCAGATCGACAAGGCCGAAGTCAGTGTAGGAGCCAAACTGCCCAGTGAGTACGGGGTTGTCCCCTTCGAGAGCTTTACCTTAATGAAAGTTTTTCAGTTGGAAATGGGTCTCACCCGCCATCCTGAAGAAAAGCCTGTTAGAAAAGACAAACGAGATGAATTGGTAGAAGTCATTGAAGCTGGATTGGAAGTCCTTAATAATCCTGATGAAGAGGATGAACAGGAAGATGAGGAGGGTCCCCTTGGAGAGAAACTGATATTTAATGAAAATGACTTCATAGAAGGTAATGTGAAAAATATATTGGTAAATGGTTGTGTAGCAGGACAGTATGCCAGTATTTATGCTTACCGGTCAATCATTGCCAAAGTATTGAAACATTTTTTACCCCCTTCATTCCACCAAGAATTCTAAGTAGATTTTTTTAAAAGGTGATAATAAAGCCATAATAAAAATAGAGAATAAGGACCAGGAAAGAGAGGAATCTGTCTCTGTACAAGAATCCGGGCCACCAAGGTTGAAGGGCCCTTGTGTGCTGGGTGTGTGTTTTCATGTGTAGGATTTGCATTCCTGTCTTATCTTGATGCTCCTTTTCATGTTCTTAAAAATGTATGAACTAAGGCTCAAAGTTTGAAAATCATTTGATAAGGAAAGAGAAAAGCTGGTTTCGTAGATTTGTGGTTGTTTTCTGTTTGGGACAAGGGAGAAGCATGGGCCAGAACACCAATGGTGCACATACAGTTTTGGGTTTGGGTATTTGGAAAGGTGAGGAGTGGCATATGTTCCTGTACGGATTGCAGAAAGGGCATGGCTCTTTTAAGATGGGACCTGACTCAGAGGTCAAGGAGTGGTGCCATAAATTTAAGATATTTGTTGATTGTTATAAACAGAAATAATTCTAAATCCCTACATATCTCCATTTTAACATCTCCAGGTGGACATTTAATAAGGCTTAAAACCATTTTGTATATAAATCTTTAAAATCCTCTGGTTCTGTAAACAACCTTCACCTGTAGCTTTTCCTTGTATTTTGCTTTGCTTTTTCACTCCAAGTCTTCCCAGCTGTTCTTGTACTGCATGGATCCATGTGGCCTTCGAAGCTGGCGGGCAGGGCATCCTGCTGGGCCGGAACCTCCCAACTGTCTTCTCCCTGTGGACTCTTGCTGTTACTTCTTTCCATTTGTCATGGGTTATTTCTCTGACAGCTCTAATGACTTGTCTGCAGACTCAGCCTTTTGTCTTCTCACTCCATAGCTGTGGCAGAATTGAAAGCTGCAGAGGAAGTGAGTTAGGAACATGTGCGATGTTCTCACAGCTGTGCTTGGGAGAAGGAAGCCACACCTGTTTCATGTTCTGCAGCTTCTGCTTAGCTTCTGCTTGGCTTCGCACTCTCAGGGTTCTCTGCATGGAACCTGTTCATGGTTCCCTTACCTTGACTGTGCCTCCCCTGTCCCTTGGAATCATTGCTGGCAACCCCTGAGTGACGCCTGCCCCGTGCCAGGCCATAGCATAGATGTCACTTCTTCAGGAAGCTGCCGAGCCCCAAGTTGAGATGGCAGTGCTTCCTCTACTTTATCTCCGCTGCCCTGCACCCTTCAGACTGCTTGTGGTGTGTGGTCTGCACACTTCCTGATTTGTCTTCCTGCTGGACAGTATGCCTCAGGGCTGGGGCACACATCTGTAAGTCTAATCTGTTTCCTGTCACTCTTGGAACTCAGGCTGCCCAGGTTGAGTGTGGTGGCACTTGCCTGTAAATCCAGCACTTTTTTTTTTTTTTGGTACCAGGAATTGAACTCATGACCTCAGGCTTGTGAGGCAAGCACTTAATCCACTGAGCTATACCCCCAGCCCATAAACCCAACACTTTGGAGACTGAGACAGGAGGATTGCTACAAGTTTGAGGCCAGCCTGAACTACACAGTGAGACTGTCTCAAAAAACCAAAAGAAAAAAGCAACAAAAAATGGACTCCCCAGTAGTAGCCTCCCATACTTTTCTTCTAAAGGCATCTCAACTCACTGTGTTAAAATTTGTACTAATTTTCTTTGACTTTGCTCAGTGAAAAAATATGTGTATGCACACACACATGTGAATCAAGCGCCATGTTTTTACTGTCTCCTTTTCCTGTCTTGCTGACTAGACCAGTCTTTCACCAGTGCTGACCCAGCAGTCTTAGAGGTTGTCAGTGACTGCCATGAAGCTCTGATTCATTTTTGTGAGTGGAAACAAGCAATAGAAGTTGTGACTCTTGGACTCAGAATTTAACATTGTTAGAAATAGTTTATTTTTCATATGGTTACTGTGCTGATAGACTTTGGTATGAAGAAAGTCAGATGTAAAAGGGAATAATTACAGTGGTACCTGTGGTCATGAACTCTTCTGTTTGTGAACACTCTGATTTGGAAACAGAAGTGTTTGGCAAAATTTGTTTGTGTTTGCAAACTCTGCATCAGGTGACAAACACGAACATGGCCATCTTTTCCAGCATCATGCAACAAATTGAGTTCATGAACTGAGGTACCACTGTATCCTTCAGAGCATATTTTATGAGTTGAATAACATAGCAGAATAATAAGGCTGTTTTTATCCCTACTTTTAAAGGAATGGTTGTGCTGATTACACTGTGGGACTGTTTTCACAAATAGATAGAAACTCTGCAGGTTTGGCTTCATACTTTGATCTTTAAGTAAAGTCTGTATTCCTGTTGTTTATGAACTGACGCAAATACATCTTTGTTCCAAACTCTTGACTTTAGGTTACTATCGCACAGAGAGAGATAAGGGCACACAGTACGAGCTCTTTTTCAAGAAAGCAGACCTGATGGAGTACAGACACGTGACTCTCTTCCGCCCTTTTGGGCCTCTCATGAAGGTGAAGAGTGATGTGGTTGACATCAGCAGAGCCATCATCAACATCATTGTGCCCCTTGCCCAAAGAACGGAAGCGTTCACACAGTTCATGCAGAACTTCAGGTAGCTATCAGGTGCTGAAGGCTTGGCTAAGTTCTTCTAGAAAATCACATTGCTTGCTGCTTTTTCTGATTTATCTTTATAAAGTATGATTACCTGGGATTATAGAATGATCTTACAGGTTTTGGGGTAGCTTTATTTTTTAAATTCCTTTTAAAGAACATGTAGTGTCTTGACAATTTGAACTGTAAATTCTTTTTTTTTTTTTTTTTTTTTTTTTTTGTTTTTCTCCGGTGCCGGGAACTGAACTCACGACCTTGCACTTGCCAGGCAGGCGCT